TATCAAACAAATTACAAATATAATTAAATGAGAGGATAATTTGATTTTATTACTTTTCTCTTGCATGAGAGAATTCATTACCATGCGGCGCCCATGAGGCCAAAGAAGATCATCATTATCCAACCACTGATACTAAGGCTGATAAAAAAGAAAAAAAAGAGAGAGAGAGAGAGAGAGAGAGAGAGAGAGAGAGAATTTTAGATCAGTAAAGATTAATCATATGATTGTGTTGTGCAAGAAGAAATACAAGGTCGCTCACCAAATGGAGAAGGTGGATATGGCGGTTTCAGCATTTTTCAGGTACCCAGCTAGTAATACCAGAATTGCTAAGTACCACAATTCCAAGCTATATAAAAACCAAGCAACAATAGTGTTAAACCCCAAAAAACATGAACATTGTTTCTTCAAAAAAAGAAATGACGGCCAAAATTTGCAAATTCAACATTGTAACTGTGCTTGGGTACCTTTCGGGCCAGTTTTTCTATAACCCAACCCGAATCACCCCAAAGAAAACCCACATTGATTTGGACCTATGAAACATGAGCACTAAGGGCGCGAATTGGCTACAAGTTAAAACCGGTTTTGACTGATTATGTAATTTTTAACCAAAATCCAACTCAGCTCAGCTCAATATTATCAATATATTCAAATAATATCAATCAATTATCCTCACACGTCACATCAACTTTAATTCACTATTCATCCACTCACATATTTTTAACTACCTATCATTGTCAATAACTTATCTCATAATTTAACATCATATATCAACTTTAATCATTACATTTTAAATATTTAAATACAAACTCAAAATCTCATTTAATTCTTCACTCAATCAACTTTATTAAGAAAAAATACTATAAAAAACTAACTCAGTGTAACCAATAAATCCAATAAAAAACCGATTCTATTTATATCCAATCGCGCTCTAACCAGTAAAAAAGTGGAATTAGTTGGACAAGCTAAAACCAAAAAAAAAAATAAAAAAAATCGAAACTCACCAGAACATAATCCCAGATGAGATCGAGAGCTTCACGACCGGCACCAAGTCTCGGAAGGCCGCCATCGTAAACCCCTTCCAAGTGTCCCGGCACCACCCTCCAAACACGTAAGCAAACTCCCCAAACACCACGAACCACGAGGCAATCGAGAGAGCCCCCATTGCCCCCGCCGCCCCAAAACCGAGCACGCTCACAAAGAGCCAGCTGAGCGCCACGTGGATTGCCAGCTGGAAGGCCGACAGCCAGGCAATGACCGCATTCTTCTGCTGGGCTTGAAGGTACATTTGCAAGGTCAGGCTGAATATGAGGCTGTACGCGAATGGTATGAACCACAGAGAGAAATAGCCAGCGGATTTCGAAATCTCGCGTTGTTCGCCGAGAAGGTTGAAAATCTGGTCGGCGTATAGGAAGAGTGGGAGAAGGATTGTAAGGGTGATGAAGTCGATGAACCAGGAGCGTTGAAGATAGATTCCCATCATGTGGTATTGCTTGGCTCCGTACGCTTGGCCGCATAGGGTCTCGGTTGCGCTCGACATCCCGATCTGCCGAAA